TTGTATTAGGTTTATTTGCCTTTAAATACCCTTCTATTTTCGTTGTAAAAACATAAGACTTTGATTAATCGAAAAACAAACTCTTTGGTTTTGTGCAAGTTGCGACTTGTTTGAGTTTGGTGGATTCCAAGCTTGTGAGCTTTGTATCGATTGAATATCCTCTTCAATCGTGGTCAAACAGCTACCCTTTTATACCATTCGAGCTTTCCCTAGGTGTGGAATTGTCCGCTGGTTCCGTTTTATCCGAATTTCGTATTAAGAATGCTTCGTTCTTGATTCGAGCTCAATCGATTCTTCGATTGAGTCGATTCCTGCGTTACTTTGATAATATACACCCCCAGGGGCGTATTAGGAAATGTATAAATTTAATGAATGTCTATATAAAGAATCATAGACACTAAAGAACGTAATCAAAACCATGAACTGCAGTTCGATTCAACCTTCACACCAGCTGTCACCTAATGTCGAATCAATAATTTGGCTATTGTAACTTAATTTCCAAATCTTAATGAACAATTGAATCGCCATCCAAAGTCACAAACGATTAAACAACATTAACAAAAGCTCCTATTTTTACCCCCCATGAACGCGTGATCGGAGATAGCGGAATCCAACCCTAGAATCGGAGCTACATCGATAATCTCTGCATATACGCTCTCCAATTGTCAACCACAGTCGACGAGGATGCAGGCGGAAGCGGCACGACGGAGGAGGAGCCGATCGTCAATTTGAGGATCCGCTCGAGCTCGGCGAGGTGGCCGGAGAAGGAGAGAGAATAGCAAAGGGAGATCGAGACTGGCTTGAACGGATCCTCTTCGGCTTCTCTTATTTCATCCCCTCGCTCCGCCTCCGTCGCCGCCTGGTAGTTGAGGGAGGGAAGGTCGGAGGTGACGAGGCAGAGAAGATTGTCTTGAGGTCAAACGTGGAACAGATGGTGCGGTTGAAACTGACGCTCTTCCATCACGCGGCTGCACGATGTGCACTCGGTGATTGGTCGGTCGGTCGACGTCGTTGAGCACCGGCCGTGCGCCGATGAGCAGTATGGTAAAAATGAGTTGGCCATTAAAATAGATTAAATTTTATTTTATTTATTATTTTTTAATTGCCACGTCACTAAGTTGACGGTTAACTTTGAGAGTTGACTGCCACATCAACCAAAGTTAACGGAGTTGGACGGAGACTGACCAAACGTGAACGGTTTAGTAAATTGAAGTAGCATTAATAGATTTAAATATTTCGAGTGACCAAACTTGAACATTTTTTGTAATCTCAGTGACCCACCATGCAATTAACCCTAAAAAAATAGTTAACAAAACAAATTACGGGTGAGTTATGTATTTTACATATACGAGTATTTTACTTTGTCTTTAAGCTAACTATGCATATAATAATACGTTAAAGTATTACAATATATGAAATTAATTATACAAAAAATAAAATTTTTTATAAATAATCAATTTAGTTCATTCGATACTAATATGAAATGACATGTTATACGAATTCTTTACTTGTTTAGCATGGAAGCCATTACATAAACAGGATAAAATGAAACGGTTCGACAATAAAAGTGGATTGTTCTCCCACACCAAATAAAAGCTTACGGGTGGTCATTGTGATTATTAATTTATTATTACCACCTAGTTCAGAAGCTTTTGCACGCAAGCATTAACCGGCTCAGCAATTGGTCCTTCCTCATAATAATTATCAAGCTAAGTGGCGCACCATTGGCTTTCGCTAATTCCTTGGGGATAGACTTTGGAATTTGAGGTTGCTTTGGAATTATTCAGCTAGGAATTTGGTCTTTCCGTATAGGAGTATGGACTTAGTTTGTGGAATTTGGGAATTTTATTTAGTTGGGTGTTGTCGTTGGAATTTGGAAATTAGGTCGAAAGATTCAGCCGCCTTCACCTTGGAATTGCTTTTAGACTTGCTATTTATTTTCCAAAAGTTCTCGCTTTTCATCGAGGAAAACAATCTTATATATTTTTGTAAGAAAAAGTCCGAACTATAAAAAAAGTGTTACTTATTTCTCGCACTATTTAATATAATATTTATGTCATGAACTATTTTTCAATTAGTGTTGACGGAGTTTGATCATCAATATTTAACAAAAAATTCATTAATTTTCGACGTGGCATCTAATAAGAAATTTTACATATTATTTTTTATTTATATTTTAATCTAAAATGATTAAAACAAGAAAAATAAAAAATAAAAGAATTACAAAAAATCCCCTAATCGTCTTAATCGCTCAGTCGATTCCACTTCTAAGCAAACACAAGTTTACCACAATCTGGTCAACCGTTATCTATAACGCTTAACCTAATCGTCAGGACATAAATGTCACAAACCCACCTTGTATCGATGGGCTTCTTGGTACAAGGGTTTTCTCAAACGACGCGAACCTCCCTCGATCTGCCAAACCGGATGTAGCCCGAACGTGGATCTCTCGTGGATCCACCAAACAAGACGCAGATCGCAAATCCTGAGGTCCCCGAATGAGGATCCACTCTGACGTCCACCACCCTGAACCGAACCAGACTCTGATATCATTTGTTATAACCGGGCTGCTCATTAGTACGATATTGTTCGCTTTGGGCCAAGCCCGCACGGTTTTACTTTTGGGTGTCCTCCCCAAAAGGCCTCGTAATAATGAGTTTGGTGGACACTAATATACAAGAGCTCATTCCCTTGTATTTCCGATGTGGTACTTGGATTGTCACATAACACAATCATATATAGAAGAGTTATACGGTGAAGACAGCCAAGAACAAAAATCGAATCCAATCAACTAAGGGTACAACGAAATAACTTTTCTAATTGCCACCAAATAAGCAACCCTATTACTATTTTGTAACAAATTAATGGCCAAACTTACCATGAAGAGCCATAATTTCCTCGAGCAACATTCTTGTTCCAAGCATCCATCAACTGCCCTATCAGGATATTGTGGCGCACCACCTTCACATTCCTCACAAAAATCACAACCATCGTCCTCCTAATCATATATCATTAAATCACATCGTGAAGAGTCAAAGTGTGTCACTCTTAATTGCACTAGTATACGAATGTTCAAAAGAATTGTAGTTAATCTTCCTAAAATGATGTCATCTCTAGTAGCCCTATATCCAACGCATTTTTCACTCATTTCTCGATTTGAAATTGCAATAGGTCATGACTTATTTTGATTATTGTTGATGTTTAATGAATTTATTAATATTTGAAGTAGAACTAAAATAAATTTAGCCTCCAAATTTATAGCCCAAATGATATTCATCTAAAAAAACTAAACAATGAAACCTAGAATTCTAAAAGTCTAAAACGTAAAAGGCTAAAAGAAACATGAGCTTTTTTTCGTTGAAAAATTACTAGAACAACTAGTGGAAATAGGTATGGACACACAATACAAATTGATTGGTGATTGATTTGTCTAGTGTTGACGTTATTCCTTTCAACGGCTACTACGGAGAAAACCTTTTCAACAATGGAACATGTGAAAATTGATTTGTGCAACAAAATTGGCGATGAATTTTTCGCCGATTGCTTAACTATTTTATTTGAAAAAGAGTATGCTATTGGTATGTATGTATGCTCCATGATTGAAGAATTCGCTAAATTAAAAGACCGTTGTAGACAATTAACATTGTAAAAAAAAAACTAAATTTATTACATTATGATCTCTACTTTTCTAATAAAATATGAACCAGTTCTCTATTATGTTATGGATCCGTCGCTACACCTAGACATCACTTAGACATCGCCTAGTCGCTAGACAATGGCCCAACTCGTTCTTAGACCTTGGCTAGTCTACAACTAGTCAACTATCATATCATACATATTCAGCAAAATCCAACCCCCAGCCGTACGAGACCCACACAATATGTAGCACTATCCACCGGCACCACCCACCATATCCTTCAAGACGTGGCAAACAATTGTGTGGTTAGGGTGAAAGGTATTGGTGTCATGGATGGAAATAAAAGAAAGTTATTTTCACATTGCTGGTTACACGTGGCATGCATGTTGCAATGTTACTTGGAATCTAGGGACTTGCCTTAGGATCGATCTAGTTACATTTGACAATTGAGCTTACAATCTCGTAATATTCGACAATTATATGTGTCTATTTGGATTTAGGTGTATTTGGATAACTTAACTTCATTTGCTATCTAATATCATCTCTTTATAATTATATTCGAGATAGTAACATTTCTAGCATTTTTTAAAATAAAACGGTCTATATATACATGAGAAGATTGACTAATAACTGGCACTAATATGTATTAATAAAATTAAAGACATCATCATACTCAAATCAATTAATCGTATAACACATGTACAATATGTAATATACATTGAATTGACTAAAATATTCAGTTGGAGGCCCCATAATATTCATAGGTCCTACGAATATGATGATTAAGGGCCTCCCAACACACCCTCTTGGCAGCAGGTAATGAGATTTGCCTAATGTATTATGACATTCGGCTAACAACATATTTAAAAAAAACTGTAATATTATTGCACTCGATGACACTGATTAACCAAAAATCATTTTGTTTTTGAAGGAAATCAATATATTTCACACTCAGTGATCAATTCACACAAGTAACGTCCATTTTTCTTTCCACGAGGAAGCGAAGTGCCCTTGCGTATGTAATATGTATACAAACTTTTCCATAATCCATCTTATTGATTCGGTCGATTCCAATATATATATATATATATATATATATTTTATAAAATAAAAATCGACATTAATGGAATTTACAAATTGATATATACTTTGAGTCTTTGATAGTTGAAAATTGCTATAATATTCTATTATTTTACAATAACACAAATCGTCAATTACTTTCTTTTGTACCATCATGCATTATAAAACAAAGTCTCCACTACCGTGTTAAAGGGTATGGAATAATGGACTAGAAATAAACTATATAACAAAAATCTAAATAGCCATTTGCTTGGGCTATAAATACCATCCCAGAAGAGCCCGCTTCTTTCTCATTTCCCTCTCCCCGTCCCAACAAACATTATATAGCTAGAGAATAGAGACGTAACTTCCATTCCATATGAATCATTTAGTTGCTTTACCCAAACATAAAGAATATTAGTTGTTTAAGGAAGATATATTATTTAGAATATTAAATATACCGAGAAATTAATTATATGTGTGAGCGGGTACCTATGGGGCGGGTTTACCTAAACCCAAACCCAACCCGACCCGGTGAATAGTGTAGCGGGTTTAAACCCAAACCCGGCCCAAAACCCGTCAACACGGGTTTTAGCCGCATTGACCGGGTTGGGTCGGGTGGGTACCCGTGGGTTCGGGTTTTGTTGCCATCCCTAGTCTCGAGTCCTTTCTAAAATGTGTAAATAATCTCTCTTAGTAAAAAACCCTAGATTTGAGATCTCTCAATCGATCGGAGCAGAGCCGCTGTTCAGATATGATAGCACGCATGATCGCTATCTGACGAATATTCTATGGCTTGATTCAGTAGTGGTGCAGACGAGATGATGAAGCTAGCTTATCCGAGTATCTCCGCCCATTTTCACCAGCCTCTGTCCATAGATTTGAATTGCGGCCAGCGTTCTCCAAATCTTAGTAGTGGTAAGATCTTCAATGGAGCTTGATTCTGCAGTTCCCTTCATTTATGGATTCCGTAGGTTCTATTCATCGATGAACGGGAACTTGTTATTTAATTGTTCTTATTGCTCTTCAATTCGAGTTTCCTCTCTGAGTTGAGAGCGTGCAGGAGACTAAGATGTTGTGATTAGTAAAATTGATCAAACTTCTCCTGACCCATAAGCCCTTACAACTCTTTCTTCCCTCTCCTCTTTCAGAGAAGATCTCATCCTTTGTTGGTCGGTTTCAACCAAAATAAAGCCACTTACTTTTACCCATTTTATCATCCCAACTTGCCTCCCTCTATGGCTTCATTTAAGGCTCTGTTCCAGAATGTTATGGCTTTTGACTAGGTTTGAAAATAGAGGTTTGGTCAACGTGATGGAGAATTATTAGATTGATTTCGTGGCACACAACACATAAACCGAAGAATTTTGTGGATCTTGGAGGTGGTGTTCTAGGTTGCAGGGGCTTCCACATTGTTCCAGCTTTATCCAGCCATTCTGTTGGGAGAGGTCTGTCTTCATTTCACCTTGGTGGGTCTGCTTGGTTTCTTCGGTGATCGGAGCTGAAAATGTAGTTGAATCTTATACACTTCACAACTGATCCACAAGGTTGTAGTTCACAGAAAGGTTGGATAGATTTATCTCTCTAACTCATATTATCTGACTCTTATCTTTCAACTTGGTCATGCAAGCCCATAGTAAAAGCTTTATCTTGACAAGTTCCCTGCTTCTTTCTCGTGTTCTTTCCTATATATTTTATCATCACTTGCACTACGATCCAGATTGCTTGTATGGATACAATTTAGTCATGGCTTTTGAATGTTCGTTTAATTCTAACGTCAAGTTGAATTACTACATTTATTCCTTCTTATTTTCTCAAGCAGGGGATGTGGGTGACTGCTTGGATAGGTCAAAGAAGGGGCCAATGATAAAGCATCATTGTGGTCTTGGATTATAGGTTAGATGTTTATATATTTGAAAAACTCAGGAATTTATGTCTAAAACTCATATGACTCTTTCTACCCCCCCCCCCCCCTCCCATAACTCTTTCTGTCTGATTCATTTGAGTTGGTTGATTGGTACTAACGCAAGCTTAAAGTGGTACACATCAAGAATTGCAACCGAAAAAAATCGAAAAAATCAAAATGTATGGAGCTGTAAGTTACTGAATGCATTTCACTCTCTTTTATCCTATTATGATGCGGCATAATGAAAAGGGTAAGACATAATAATATTTTCTAGCTATTAGCTTGCACATAAAAGTTATCCCCTTAATCAAGTATTTTTGACAGAATTCGCAAGACTCCCAAAAGCAGGAGCTACTTGGATGCTACAACTACCGATAAAGCTACTCATAGACCATATTGGAAAGTTCAGGTGATAGGTAAGCTGCTCTTGGGGTGTTTATGCAAATGCTCATCCTAAAACTTAAATCATTAATCCCTTCACACCATTTTAGTCAACTCTATCTCTATATATATATATTGACTATATGAATTAGAACCTTTGCTTGATTCTAAAGTTGCGGAGATATGTGATTCTAGACTGATATGACATTGTGGTTTTATGGAATACTTACTTTAACATTTTACTCAACTGTTTCAAGTTAAGTCAAGTTGTTTGTTATTAAATATTATTCACTGTTTTGGCTTACTTCACTGTTTTTCTAATTGAAGGAACTGTATATAAGGAATACAAGAAATAGGGGTGAATATCAGCTCAATCATACAGGAGGCTCAAAGTCCATTGCTAAAAAAATTGTTGAGATGGTATGTTTTTAGATGTTTCTTTCATTTTCTTTACCTCTTGTCTACCAGTTTCCATATCTGGAGTGAATGTGCAATTTTTGATGGATTTGTCTTGTGTGTTTGATTCAGATTGTGGTAGTGACTTTTGGTTCAAGGATTGTTGATAGCTTTAAGGGGATTCAGTGTTTTCGAATGCTTTGCATGATGACAACCGATAGGCCTCTATCCTAGGTTGCAACTGCTCTTGAACTCAATGAGTCATTTATGGTGTGCTTAAGGATTGAAACTCTTAGATTTTTTGCATGTTAGTTGTAGTGTGATAGCAACCTGTTCGTTGGATGGTATAGTGTCCTTTCTGTTTTTCTTCTTTGGAACCTGTAGAGGAAATTTTAAGTAAGATTTTTGACTTGTGTTCTGTTTTAATATTTCAGGTTCCTCTTGACTCCACTGCTCGGCATTCAGCCCACTCTTCGACTGGTGCTCCGAGACAACAGAGGTATCATTATTTATAAGATACTCTACTTGAGACAATTTGCAGAATGCTTCTTGTGGTTAATCAGTTATCCAAAGGCTTTTAGTCCATTGCTTCCATGTAAATGTGTCCTTAGAGATATAGTTTGCATTCTGTTTACGTTACTACCATGTATATCTAAGTGTTGAACATAATGAGCCATGAGAACTTAGTTTAAATTGGATGTCTTTGCAGGGCTGCAAGTTAATGAAGAAGCTGATGTGAAAATTTAGTTTGAATGGGGTGTCAGGCTGCAAGTTAATGAAGATTTGGATTTGGTAGTATAAGGTGTTAATAGGGATTGTATATGAGAGTTTTGAACTTTAGATTGTAGGTTTAATGGTACTAGAATTGTTGACTTGCTTGTAGAATTGAATGATTGTTGATTTGGTAATCCAAAAGTAGAACCTTTTAACAAATCATATTGGTTTTCTTATTTGGATTTGTCGAAATTGTGATATCAAGGAAAATCCCAGCAGGTTGGGGCTGTGATTATTAGAGGAGGTGACTCTTTTAAATGGTCGGCAGAATTTAACGACGGTCGGCAGAAGTTAGCGACGGTCGAAAACCGTTTCTAAAACAATATTAATTATTTATGATATATTTATTCCGCGACGGATTTCTGGAAGATTGTGTCGGTTGCACCCGTCACTAAACTTTGCCCACGGCTAACGCAACGGTCAACCAAAACCGTCGCAAACACATTTAAGGACTGCGGGATCAACGACGTCCAGCTGGCCGTCATCAAATGTTATCGCGACGGTTCCGACCGTTGCTAAAGGCCCGAACAACCGTCGCTAAATCACTCTTTTGTTGTAGTGAGTGTTCATCGTCCTTAGTGCTTTATAAACTAACTAATATTTTTGGTCACATATACATACTAAAATATTCACTTAATATATAATCATTTTTACCACCAATTAAATTATACTCTAAATGACGAATTTTTTTGGAATAAGTATTTTTTCTGGCCAAATTTATTGGTTATAATAAAATGCAATTTTCAAAGTAGTATTTTGGGTCATATAAACATACTATGATCTACTTCCATTAAAAAAAAAATACTATGATCTACTTACTTGAAAAATCTTTCAAACAAAATTAAGATTTAAATTACCAAAAATTGGTAATTATTGGTCCAATTTATTCTTTTAAGTTTTATGAATTACGATTTACGGCAGAAAGAGAAGTGAAGCAGAGGGGTTAGCATCTCGCTCCCCATTCAAAACTCTCCCAAAGAATCGTGACTTGTCTCTCCAAGCCAGATTTGAAATCGAAGAGAGGATCGAAATCGAGGAAGGTAATTCTCTACGAATGGAAGAACTTAAGGTTTGATATGGGAAATGAGGTTTTGATGATGATATTTGCAAATCTCTTATCAAATCATTTAGGAATATACATAAAGTTAAATTCTTTTTGTTTGGTGGCTCAGAATATGTTACTCATATTTGAGTTCCTTTCTTCTAGTTTACTTCTAACTTTATAAAATAGTAGATATTCTCCTCTCCTGGGATGCTTTGGTCATTGCCTACGATAATAACACTACAATAGTTGCTGCATCAAGGCTCTGGTATTTTGCTTTGTAATTCTCATCATGCTTACTGTTATATCAATGTTCTGTGTATGCTTCTGTTAGTAAATGGTCTATGATCCACGATTATTGAACCTCTCCTAACAGCTCGAGTTATTGTGATCAATTGGTTCTTGACATGGTATCAGAGACTTTTGTGTCTTGTGTTCGAATCCCGGTGACCACCATCTATTTCTGTTAAGCACATAGTGCCCGGACCTGTGTCTGTGCAAACTCCAAGCCTATCTGAGTGGCTTGGATTTGAGGGGGTGTGTTAGTACACGGTATATGATCCACGATTGAACCTCTCTCAACAACTCGAGTTATTGATACTAACTGGTTCTTAACAACTTCTTTACCAGAAACTGAATCTTTCAAGTGTTAGAGTTCATAATTTCCTGTATTGTTCAAGCTTTTTTTATGTAGACCCTAGCAACTCTCGTGTGGGGATGGGTAGTTGTCTCATTCTTCTCGTGGTTTGTTGGCTTCGTTCTTGAAACACGAGAGTTTGAACGAATTTGCATCAAATTTTACACCATCACATTGCGGGGGTGTTCTTCAAGATTGGATATTTTGATCAAGATTGATGTCGTTCTTCACAACATCATCTTGCGGGAGCGTATTAGAGATAGATTAAAAATATTCTTATATTTCCTTGTTCTCATAGTATAGTTCTTAGTATTTTCATATCCTTCTAGTGTTAGAATTATTGTGGTCCTCTTACTTAATTTGCAAGTCTTGTAATCTATATATAGCCCTTTGTGGTTTCATATAAGTTACAAGTCACTACAAAAAAAGTTAGCTATATCAAGGGTTATGTAGCAGGGGTTTGTTAAACCCCTGGTAATATTTTAGAAACTCATTATACTAGCGGTTTATTCCAAGGGTTTAGGAACCCTTGCTATAGTGCAACTCTCTTTCAATACCAACCCCCATTCTTTCACGATAGAAAGAATCTCATGAGTCCGTCTCCGGTCTTCTTCTTTTGAGTCCGACTCCCAGCTCGGCATTGTCGCCGGGATCTCCCCGCCGCCACTCCACTCCGTTATCTACTTTCTTCTCTCCGATTCGAGTTCATCATAATCCGAATCAGCCCACTTCAGCTCGGCATCGGCAACTAATTCGCTTCACCGGGTCTTCAATTCGTGGCCGTGTTTCTTCCTTCAAGCTTTCAGGTAATGAAGATGATCCTCAGATTCTGAATCTTTCACCGTTTCTCACTTCAAATTCATCTTCCTTTGCCTACTACTTGTTTCTCATCGTCTGGGTTTTGCGCTAATCGCTCTGCTTTCTAGGTCAACAATATTCTTCCTCTTTGTGTAACATAGTCCGTTTTGCTTTCTGCTATCGAATGAGTGTTTTTGCTGTTAAAGATCCTCTTTGTGTGCCCCTGCCTTTACATATCCCTTTGCTCTCTTTGAATGCTTGGCCTCTTTGTGGTTCCATCATCGATCACAGATCTAGCTAACTGCAATGCTTTTGCTTATTATATTGCAGCATTTGGGAATACTGAACTTGGCCATGATATTTGTTGTCCGATTTTGTGCCCTTCTGCTAGCTTGTTTCTTGAATGAGAAATCCTGACCTGATGCAGGTGAATTGCTCGATATTTGTAGAAATTGAGCCCCAAATTGTCTAAGTGTATGATTGTTCAGTTTCCATTTTTTGCAGCTGTGAGTTCCTTTTTCAGAATGGACAAGAGTTGGATGAAAAAGCATAGAACAAGTGTTGAATATAAAGACGGAGTGCAACTTTTTCTGGATTATGCATTTCGAAATGTTTCACATGTATCAAAGGTCTTGTGTCTCTGTGTCAAGTGTGCAAATGTTTATGCACAAACATATGATGATATTCAGGTACATCTCATTTGTGATGGTATTCTAAGAGGGTATACAATGTGGGTTTTTCATTGAGAAACTTTTCAAGCTAGTGGTGTTGCCACTTCTTCTTCCTCAGTGACAAATGTTTCAACTATGGGTATGGAGAGAGTATCTATTCCTATTCAATCAAACCCACCAATGAGAGCAGATTTGATGGGGTTGCTTCGCGATGTCTTTCGCCGTGAAGATCTAGTGAACGATGAAGTACCTTGTGAGCAGGATGAAAACTTCTTGGAGGATAGTGAGGGAGAAAATGATGATAGCGATGAAGTGACAGATGATCCATTACAGAATACTTGTGAAATAGAGAATTTGATAAAAGGTGCAAATGAAGGGCTTTATCCGGGGTGCAAAACATTCTCAAAGCTATCATTTCTATGCATTTATATCACATGAAGGTTCATAATGGATGGACTGCAAAATCTTTCACCATGTTACTTCAGTTCTTACTGCAAGCATTTCCAGAAGGTATTTCTTTACCCAAAACTCATTATGCAGCTAAGAATGTTGTTCAGAAGTTGGGCTTGGATTATGTAAAAATTGAAGCATGCCCAAACGATTGCAGTTTGTATTGGAATTTGACAAAAGATGCTGATTCTTGTTATGTCTGCGAAGAATCTAGATATAAATTTGGAGATATAGATGGCCGCAAGGTGAAAGCAACAAAAGTTTTGCGTTATTTTCCATTAATCCTGAGGTTACAAAGACTATTTGCTTCTGAGAAGACGGCAAAACACATGAGGTGGCATGATGAATGTCGGAAGAAAGATGTGTTCTTGCGACATCCGGCCGATGCAGAAGCTTGGAAGGCATTTGATGCTAGACACCCCAATTTTGCCTCTGATTCACGCAATATCAGATTGACTCCACTGTCGATTAAGAATTGGAAAAGAAAGGAGTTCAAACCATTTAAAAGACAGATACTAAGCCTTACCAAGGTAAAACCACTGATGTACCCACAGTTTAATACCACTGCTGTTTTCTTTGGTTTATTCACTATATATTTATATTTCCTTGTCTTTCTTTGTGTAGTCAAAGTTCCGCTACCCTGTATGTTTAGAAAGGTGGATTTTGCAACTTGTTGACAAGAAATGGGTCGACTTCAAGTATGATTTAAAGAGCAAACACTTTGATGTTGGGAAAACGGTGGAAAATATTATGGAAGAGGGACTTCCAGAAGGTGTTACAGATGCAAATCAGTGGTACACCTTGGTAGTTAGCTGGTTTTCCGAGGAAAACAAGGTAAATCCTATGTCCTGATAATGATGATGATTGGCTCATTAATTTCAACTTCATTTTGTTGAAATTCGAACCCCCTGCTGGTTGTATATGCTTCCATGAAAGTCCATGTCCATGTCCCTTGTTTGAAATGGAGCTCAGCTGGAATGAATAAATGATAATGATAATATTGAATAAATAAATGAAAAGGAAAAAGGAAAACCATCGGGGTGTTTATAATTTCCAGCTTTTCTCATCATCATCATTTGTTCCTCATTTTCAGGGTGCCTATTATTACCCAGAAGCAGCCAATTACTTAATCCCATTATTTTAATACTCCACCAGAACAAGTTATGATTATGTATGGTGTTACCAACAACAACTACACACTTTAATCTGATAATTGTTAATCTTAGTCCTGGGAATATTCAATGCTCACAAGGTTCTTCATCTTATATATGCTAGTTCCAGAATTTCATTTCTTTGCTTGAGTGGGCTCTTTAGCTAACTTCATACGTACCCAGCTTTTCTAAACAAAGCTGTCAGTTTATCCACCTGTAGCTTGTGCAAACAAAGTCCCTCTTCTATTATTCTGCTGCTGCAATTTTTCTGCAGGGTTGCTTCTTCTTTTATTCCTATGTCTTGTCCTTTTGCTAATGATGTTGCCAGTTCAGAGTTAGAGCAGATATATAATACTAAAAATCTTATTTGTGCATAAAAGAAGTGCAGTAAACCGTGCTAATGCAAAGAAGAAGAGTGTTTTTCACACAGGAGGAAGAAGGAGCATTGCAAGGACGAGAAAGCGACTTGTAAAACTTTATTTGTTTCTGTTTTGCTTCATGTACATTCTTATAAATAATATGATCAGATTTTGTTCTAATCTAAATTCTAATATATTACAATGATTGCAGAAGGAAAAATTAGGCAGAACTCCAACTAGACTTGAATTTTTCGAAGCTAACCATAAGAGAAAGGATGGGACATACATCAATGATCATGCTAAGGAGTTCATGGTAATTCCTATGGTAGCTCCTACTCATATGTGAAATGAGAGACATAGTTTGCTTTAGTAGATTAGTAGTGTTGCTGGTAGTGTTTGGTATTTATCTAACATGTGATTTTGCTGCAAGATAAAGCAAATGAAATTGAGGGATCTAGTGAGGAGGTTTTCTAGAAGCTAGCAGGTCCAGAGCATCCTGGGAGGCTTCGATGCATGGGGTTAGGGCCAACTAAGAGCACATATTTTGGAGTTTACTCGCGTGGTGCTGCATCTGGATCATGCTCATGTTCATGTAGTCATTCGAGTGAAGATGTACCAACTTTGAAAGGAGAGTTAAGTGAGGTGAAGAAAAAAATGAAGGTCATGGCAAGGTTCATCAGTAAGCAATTTCCTGGGCAAAATTGGATGGAAGATGCTGAAAACAATCTGGTAATTTCTCTCCCCTCTTTTTCTCTTGTTTGAGGTAGTTTAGTAATGAGGTAGTAAAAGAGAAAAGGGTGAGGAGAATCCCATAATATCATAGCGAATTTGAGTCTCTATAGTGCAATTTGAGTCTCTAAACCGACTTATATCGATGAATCAGTGAATGAGTTGTGGGTTGTGGTTAGGCATCTCAAACACCACTGCTGAAACCAGTACAAAGTGTTGTGTTTGGTGAAGGGATGAATCTGTTCAGTTATTTCTTTCACTTTAGTTTGGTGAGGGGGGGAATCTGTCAAGTAATGCTGCCTTTTGTTGTGAATTGTTCTTTCTACAACTAGCTGCTGCATGAGATGAGAGCTTTTATGTTTTGCTAGCCTCGGTTGTCTCTGCTTTTTAATAATAATAGTTGTGCTAGCTTGTTTGTATCATATTCAAGTGTTGCCTATGCTTTTTTTTTAGCTTCAGTTTCTTAATCTCTTATAACAATTTTGTTAGAGGTAAATGTTGATAATTCTTTTCCTTTTCTTCAGGGTGCAAGTACTGCCCCATCTTTGTGTTCTCGAGCTTCTTGATGTCGTGATATCATGCTCTTAGATGAAGGATGTTGAATCATGAGTTTATCATGTAAGTTCTTTTGAGTAGTATTCTAGTAGGTTGTTATGTTTTTATGGATTGCCAATGGTGTTAGTAGGGATTATATTATGGTACATAGAATGTTTGAGGTAAATGACGAATCATGGTACGGATTATGGAGTATTGACGGTTTTGTACGGTATGTATGGTACGGATTAGTGAAAGACAGTATGAATTTGGTCACTATTGCATATTAGGTTCTGAGTTTGTTAGAAGTGACTATAGTATTTGCAACCACGCTATAACCACCAGTTTTGGTGGTCCTATTTAGTGACAGCTTTGAATTTATTTTTAGTGACAGCTTGGCATTCTCTTTAGGGAGGGTCTGATTTCGTCACATTTTTTTTTATATTAGCCACCAATTAAGCATGGGTTTAAACCCTTGGAATAAATGTAATTCAAATGAAGCTATAACACTCACTAGCAAGGGGTCTGACCGTAACTGATTTAACAACGCATGTAGCAGGGGTTAGAGCCCATGCTATGAGTAGACCCCTGCTAAAACCCCTGGATGGTACTTCCACCGTGGGTTTCTCAAAACCCTTGCTATCCATAGCAGGGGCAGCATAGGTGAGGGTTAATCCAGGGGTTGTACAAACCCTTGCTACAATTTATAGCAGGGGTTAAAACCCTGCTATATGCCAATAAAACCCTTGGTATAGCTCCCTTTTTTTTTAGTGAGTTACTATTCCTAAAACTCTTATATTTATAACTCTAATTGTCCAACCTTAGATAGATTGATTCTCTTGACTTCCTAAAGAATTTGGTGAATGAAATTTCTCTTCCTTTGGTTGTGAATTGTATGGAAGAGACATGGTTCTCTTTATATTTGGAGTGCTCATTTGGTTGGACCTAAATGGGGACCTTTGGCACAATGATGGTTGAAGGGGGAGATGGATGCAATTATATACTATGGTAGCCAGGTTTCACCCTGTGCCAAGATTCCTCCGCACAAAGAGGAAGTGAAAGTTGACAAGAAACAAGAGAAACCAGGACCCTGAAAGAAGAAGAGGTTTGTTCTTTCTTCTGGAGTTTGTGTGTTCATATACTAGATACTGTGTTTTCTTGTTTGTTTGGTTGTGTGATGGTGGTCCACTGGTCCTTACTTAGAACTGCGTTTTTTTGGTTGGCAGGGATGATTTCTTGGCGAGTGAGTTCAAGCTGAAGCTTTAGTCAGTCAAACACGGTTATTGGTTACTGGTCTAAAGTGATGGTGGGTGGGCTGGGGATGAAGTGGAGAGTTTTCAGTTTGTTTCCAACTCTCCACTTTAGTGCTGGTAGAAAGTTGGAGAAGGCTTGGCTATTTTGGGATCGGTTGAAGCTCTTTACTATAGTAAAGAAAATCTTCACTCATTCCCTATAGTATGGCTACTTGCTTTGCTCTTCACATTAGGTAGTGTTTATGGTCACAAATCTGTTGGCACACTGATCAACCGGGACTCGTCTCTATGGTTCATTGGTAAGCATTCAAAACCAATATTGTATTCTTTTTTTTTAATGAAATGGGTGGGAATGGTGTTCTCCCTCTTTCTTTTATAAGAAGTTTTATTCCTTCCCTGTTTCAGTAGGGAAGCCTTACATTCAAGGCCGTATAAGCTTTCACCGTCATGGCTGCCTCCTTTGTTTCTCTGTTTGACGTAATTCTGTAAGTGTACTAGAATGCATCTCTTTGTTGCTACTGCATATCACTTTAATATATGATTCAAAGTGAACTGGCTTCTACCCTTGTGATAGTGGCTTCTGCTCTTTTAAACTCTGCTTGTACTTTTTCTATTGGTTCTCTGTGCATTGACTACTGATTAAAGTGAAGAATCTTTGCTTGTTAAAGAGAAAGGCCTCTGAAATTTTGGGATGCAAGGATTGGGGCAAGGCGAAAGCTGGATGCGCTTACACCATGAAGTAAGACTCCACTCCCCACTCTTTGAATTGTGCATACTAATTGAGTTGATCCTTAGTTCTAATCTGTAATGTGTTTGTATTAGTTCGGTTCTTCAACCTCATACCAACCCACAGGTTAGTTTCTGGTATGAAACTAGTGTAATGGCCTAATGGGAACTGGGAATGCCTATTTGGCAAGGAATTGAGCAACTGATGGCTGTTAATCTTGTACTACCGAAAAGAGTGAGGCGTGATGAGTTAGTAGTTGTTAAGCTAGGGGCGAAACATTCATCTTATTGTCTAATGTCTTGTCTCTGGCCATGAGTTTGCCTTTTCCTATTAATTATGTTTCTACTGATTTCTTTACATTCCACAAACAGGGTAGAGTAGTGTACATTTGATGTGATTGGTGGCAGTGTGTCGGTCCCTTCCTGTTCGCAAATTTCGAAGGTAAGCTTCTTTCTTCTTTTGTCACCAGTTACAGCCCCAACTTATTGTTGTATTAGGTCTAGAACCCCTTATATGTTCTCAGTGAATTGATGGTTAGTTAGTGACATGGTCCTTTTCAGGGTCCGATTGGAGGAGCTCAATCTTGTTCTGGTTTAAATTGTAACTGCTGAGTTTGTTAAGTTGGAATGATTTTCTCTACATGAGTCCTTCTTATGAAAATTTGAGTTGTGAGTATTTGAACACGTGACCTCAATTACAATTCAACTCTCATATCATGTAATAAATCAGTTGATCGAAATAATTCGAGTTGTTGGGAGAGACTCATATATAATACTTAACTACTTCCTTATACCATCTCCATCCCATAAATCATTTAGTAATTTCTAAAATGGCACCCACACCCACATCAACAACTTTCATTTAACAATTTCCAGCAACCTCTATCCCTACAAGTCTCTAGCAATTTCTTTTGTTGGACCCACAACTATAATATTTTTTTTATGAAGACAACTACAATATGTCCATATATTTTTTTTGCATAATTAATAATAGAAAATGCATAACGTCTTTGACAATCTTATGTTTACACATAAAATTAAATTAGGGTTTAGTAAATTATTGTGCATTTGTATTGTGCTAAACTTTATTTTCTTTCTTGCTTTATATCAACAGGGGCTTCATCTCCCTCGCCAAAGACGGTCTGGATCCACGATGCCTACTTGACCAGAAGGCAACAGGAATTGAATTGATGTTCCATAACTCTCTGAACAATACTAGAGACGCCCGGGATCCACGAAGTCCCTCCTCGACCAAACGGCAACAGGAATTGAATGGGAGTTCCAGCTTTCTCCAAATGGCTGAAGGTCTTCAAGATGAGAGCAAGAATTGTACATCTCACGTCTACGAACTGAAGAGAACAAGATTGGGGATTCCTCCATTCATTATAGGGACGAAATCAATGGCTGAAGAAGGGGAATCCAGTTCCTGATTGACAACCCTATTTTTATCAACAACATTCAGCTCGACGCAAAGGGCAGCAGCATGGAGTCGCATTCCGGTGCTGGCGCGGTTGGTTTTAAATCCCAGTTTCAAGAAGGCAATATAATTAATAGAATGAAAATGTAGATGATGGTTTAAATATTTTTTTTTTTTGTGCAAACCGGGCGCAAACTAGCGCCCAAACCTTAATTGTTAACTAGCGTGTGACCCGGCCATTTGGCAGGAGGAAGGTGAGGTATGAAATTTGATAATGTAATGAGGTGTATACCTTATTGTTGTATAATTTTTTTTTTGGGGAAACACGTGATATATTTAATGAATTTTAGTAGGAAAGAGATATGAATGATGCAACGAATAAAAAATAGCATTATGAACCAAAATCAAATACCTGTTACCTTGTGAAACAATATTGTTTCTGGTAATATGATGAGGTGGAGTAAGTTTTATAGAAACCGAATTCCAGAAAATTGAATAAAAAACCGCCTATCCCGCCGGTTTTAGGGAAATGAGCATCTCACGATCGTTGCTAGCTTTTACTCGGCCCGTTGGCCGATTAATTTTCTTTATAAAACTTTCATCTTGTCATCATTGTGCTTTCTGGTTTTTTGCCAAGCCATGATAAAATCTAAAGAAATCAAGAATGAACAACACGATTTGAGATAGGAACCACAGTTCTTGTATCCCTAGAAAATGATTGTAAACACGGACTCACCTGCCAAACTGGTTTGGATGGAGATTTTTCTTGGGTATCAGGGAACCATGTGATTATAAATTAGACTTGATCAAAACGGGCCAAAACTTGAAATTCAACCTATTTGACCGACCCATGCCAAACTCTAATTATTCTTTACTTTTTTAAACTTTCTATTTGAAAGTAAAAAATAATGAAAGAAAAGAGATGATTGCAATTCGCCATTATCACATCACTGATTCGGGAATAAAACTATAGAATTTCGAAAGGAAATTAAAAATGTTTAGGATCGTTTTAATGTTAAAAATAAACAAATAGATCTTTCTGTTTAATTTTTTACTAACA